TTCAGTTTGCTCTTCTTCTTTATCGCAGCGATGCAATGTCGTGTAGCTTTGTCCTGTCTACAATTTGTTCGGGCAGATATATCAGCGTGCACGTTGTTATTACTCACGGCAGCACTTTCATAATGATCCAGGTAGATTCTTAGTAAGTTGTTCGACGAAAGAACATCTGCGTCGAAAAGTCGAAACCGTATGGTTATCCGGGAGAGAAGGCCGCGCGTTGTAAAACGCACTCTCGCGCGAGTGTGTGCGCGCGTATATTTTCGCACAGATGCGATTGTGCGTCTTGGTCCATGCACTACCACCGCGTGCCGAGAAAAGTGGTTAACTGTACTGACCGGCGGCGGTGTTTGGCGATGCAGCTGCATCATCTAACTGCAGAGAATCAGTTATGTGTAACAGTGACTGAGGCCTGTCAGGAGGCTTTTAGTAACGGTGGCGTCATATGTCTGACAGATTGATGTTGCACGACGATTGATGGAGTCAGGGCACGGTGTTGCTTGGAGTAGAACACGAAAGTAAGTTACGGCGATTCGAGAGGAAGTACCCGCGTCATTTTCTTTCGCAAATACGTTTAATTTTGTGACAATCAATCAATTCGTTCGTTAAAGACCTCCGTATTTATATTCCTATTATTTTTCATCCCAACTATACGCGCTGCTAATGAAGAAATAGTAATGTACATGCTTCCTCAATGCGCCGCTAATTAAGGAATGAGAAGTTGAGTGTGCCTAATCAGTTATCCCTAAAATTTGAACGAAAGCGTAATTAAACAAATTAAACTCCTATTCTCATCACTCGCAGAAAATAATTTGCGGATTTGTTTAATTCTCCCTCTTGCTTTTTTCTTTCTTCTCCTTTATTACAATTTTAAATGTACATTTTAGACAAAAGTTCGAATGAAAGAAATACTTGATATTATTACGTGATGTAGTTAATTTACATACTCTTGCTTTCATCGCGGAATATTGAAAAAAAATTTTTTTCTTTTTAATCTAGTTCTCTCGTTTTAAATAATTAATTTTCTAAATCCTTATGTAAGTAATATTGTATATTATTTAAAATTATCTCATCCCTTCACTCGCTTTCGTGCTCGCGCCGATCGTATCTTTTCCCAAAGCAAAGATTTTTTTTTCTCTCTGCGACGGAGGAGAAAACGGATTCGCGGCGCGATGGAGTGGCCTCAAAAGTTATGTGCAAGAATAATAGAGGTCTTTTCTCCCGCTCGCTCGATTTTTACGCTTCTCGGAGTCGTAAAAGATTTGCGACCAAGACAATGGCAACGAGCTTTGAAATCGTTATATCACGCTCGCGTATTTTAATTCCGATGGGATAACTTATGGCCGCCAGAGCTATGCATGCTTTCTAATTCCCTCTATGTAAATCTACATCCGCTCGGACGCAACGCATCGTTCTCGCACCAGAAGAACGCTCGGTCAGTCAACCAGGAAACAAACGGCGAGGCGAGAGCATGGAAAAGAGTGTAAGAGTCGTGGGATTAACAGCCGATGATGGCATACGGATAATAAAGTATCGATGTGGAATGGACGGTAATAAAAGGTGCGTAAAAATGGTGAAAGTAGCTCGCGATTCATGTGATATACGGCAGCTCTACGGCGGCCGTGCCGAAGAGTGCACCATATCGGACGAAGATATAATGAAAGGTCTCTCGAAAGAAAGCAAGAACGAATTGGACTTGACTAGAAAGCTGCTTTTGTCAGCTCTGCCTCGTTTTAACTCCTGAACAATCAAATAACGTATATGGAGAACGCTGTCAAAAACTGTTAATGCCGTTGTTGACCTTTTAACGGCTCTGAAGATTGAGTTGTAAAGATTGAATATACTGCCGTTCGTTAAGCAAAAGAGAAAAAATATAATGTGCGTATATTAAGAGAATATTATATTCAGTGCGTCAAAAAAGTAAACTCGATTATTAATTTATTGATAACACCATTGTTACATTGACAGGTATATATACATATATATCCCCGCAAATATAATGTTATCAATAAATTAATATATACCTGTCAATATAACATTATCAATAAATTAATAATCGAATTAATTTTTTTGACGCACTAAATATAATATTCTCATTATTTTATTTCTTAAAGTTTCACAGATGTAAACTCACTCTATGATTCATCGTTAAAATTTTACTCATTAAAATTTTCCTTTAGAAATCTGATCAAAGCTCAATAATATTTCGATATATTTTCAAGCTGGGATACCATCTCAATTTATCCTTTCTGAGATTTCATAAGCATTCTAGATAGATTCTCTATAGAATCCAATTTTAGACTCGAGCAAGACAATTGACCGTTGCTCGTGAACAATGTGGACGGGAGGATAGACGAACAGGTGTATAGAAATACAGCCTCTGAACGAACGAATATTGAGTTATCAATGGTCAGCTCATGAACCATACTCCGCACGTATCAGAACATCGTATGCGTATGCATAGCCGGTGTACTATCTACCGCTACTCGGATCCTTTTTGCCAGACAATACCGTAAGATGCGCGTGTCGCCTCGCATACCGAATTCCGACGACATACTTCGTCAAATCATGCGCCGCTATCGTTTACGCCGATGCTACTTATAATCTCTCGCGCCTGATTACAATTCGCAAGTAGATCAACCGGTGATAGAAGTAGATAGAGGTGATAGAGGTCGAACGTAAACGAGAAGAGTGGCTCTGTCGAATCGCGGGAATTGTTATGGCAATTTGCAGTTAAACTTCAGTTAATTTTAATTCGTGAGAACATTTCTTCGTTAAGAGCGTGCCGTTTTCTTATAAACGTTATTTCCATATCAATTAATTTTTACTAATTTCCTTGGAAACTATCCTAATTATAAACTCATAAATTAATAGATATATTTTCTATTTAGGGATATATAACGTATATAACTTTGGATTTACATCGATTTATATTCATGAATGTAATTTTAGATCTAATTACAAAATTAATCAAGATTTCATAAAACTTTTAAGGTTTTATAATAAGAAAGAAAAGGGAAAGCATATATAGAAATAAATACATAGCTCTCATATTTTCAAAAAGTAATACATTTCTAAATAATTTTCTTTGTAATGTTCGCGAAATATTGGATGATTGCATAAGTTCGTGCCCGATTTTCATAGATGGCATTAAGTTACTGCATGGCGGAGTTCTATTGTTTTCGTGTGGGAGTTGTTGCTTACACCGAATAGATGACGTTGTCTTATGTCAATTTAGCATCAGACATTGTTCAGATAAGTCCATTTGTGCATAAGAGAAATCATTAAAAATGGAGAACCACAAGGTGCATTTGCGGCATGTAATGTTATATAAATTTCGGAAAGGCGTGAGTGTTGGGATTGCACAAAAAAAATATTCAAACCGTTTATTTAGACCGCGCTCCTGCTCTCCGAACAGTCAAAAAGTGGTTTGGCAGATTTCGAAATGGTGATTTCAACATGGAGGATCAAACCCGCTCTGGACGGCCTTCTGGCATTGATGATAACATTGTGCATGCCTTAGTGGAAAGAAACCCAAGGATTACAACTGAGGATATTGCTAAGAGGCTGAACATCGATAATTAAACCGCTTTTCGTCATTTAAAAAAGCTTGGATACGTTTCCAAGCTTGATACATGGGTGCCGCATCTCCTGACTGAAAGGAATAAGCTAAACCGTATGACTGTGGCTCTTTCTCTTCTCGAGCGTAACAAAAAAGAGCCTTTTTTAGATCGAATGGTAACAGGCGATGAAAAGTGGATTCTCTACAAAAACGTACAGCGAAAGAGGACATGGAAAACAGCAGCTGAAGGAGCAGAACCCGTAGCAAAGGCTGGCTTGCATCCGATGAAGGTGTTGCTGTGTGTTTGGTGGGATCGCAAGGGAATTATTTACTTTGAGCTGCTCCGACGCGGCGAAACAATCACGGCGGACAAGTACTGTGAGCAACTAACTAGACTCGCTGCAGCTATTCGAGAAAAACGTCCGATTTTGGCCAATCGAAAAGGCGTCATCTTCCACCACGACAATGCTAGGCCACACGTCGCTCAACAGACGCTGCGAAAACTGCAGGAGTTGCAAGGGGAAATTCTCCGTTTTCTTATAAACGTTATTTCCATATCAATTAATTTTTACTAATTTCCTTGGAAACTATCCTAATTATAAACTCATAAATTAATAGATATATTTTCTATTTAGGGATATATAACGTATATAACTTTGGATTTACATCGATTTATATTCATGAATGTAATTTTAGATCTAATTACAAAATTAATCAAGATTTCATAAAACTTTTAAGGTTTTATAATAAGAAAGAAAAGGGAAAGCATATATAGAAATAAATACATAGCTTTCATATTTTCAAAAAGTAATACATTTCTAAATAATTTCCTTTGTAATGTTCGCGAAATATTTCATTAATCGCGCGTGAGGGTTATCGCATACAATGTTCGGAAATTTTTACTCCAATTATAAAAAATTCATAAACTAGTCCAAACTTGCAGAACTTTTTTAAAGAGTAAAATTATATTTTATCTCGTAACCGGAGAGAGACAATTACTAATTGCTAAACAGCAAGCGGCTTTTTTTATTTATAAGAGGCTCAAAGTTATCTCACTCAATCGTCGTAAGATAGATTTTCTCACCCCATTTCTGCTTCATCGACGTCATCGAGACCGCGGATATCGTATCCGGTACATCCACCGCGCGTTCCTCTTATCTATTGAAGTTTATATTTAAATCGGGCACGAACTTATGCAATCACCTGATATTTCATTAATCGTGCGTGAGGGTTATCGTATACAATGTTCAAAAATTTTTACTCCAATTATAAAAAATTCATAAACTAGTCCAAACTTGCAGAACTTTTTTAAAGAGTAAAATTATATTTTATCTCGTAACCGGAGAGAGACAATTACTAATTGCTAAACAGCAAGCGGCTTATTTATTTATAAGAGGCTCAAAGTTATCTCACTCAATCGTCGTAAGATAGATTTTCTCACCCCATTTCTGCTTCATCGACGTCATCGAGACCGCGGATATCGTATCCGGTACATCCACCGCGCGTTCCTCTTTACCGGACAGAATCTTCTCGACACATTCCGATTTTTCCATCTTCGTCACCGATCCTCCTTCATTTCTCCAATCGTCATCTTCCCCCTTATCGTTCTTCATCTCTATGAAATCTTTCAGACTCGGCAGATCCCGGATATCCGGTACTAAAGTTTCCTCGTCGTCCTCCCTGATCTTCCATTTCGCCCTCTGTCGATGCTCGTTCTTGTTCTCTTCTTCCTGCACTTTCTCGCTCGTAGAATCCAGTACTTCTTCAACAAGTTCCTCCTCTTGAAGTATATATTCTCTGCTCTCGTTTGGATTTCTATAAATCCTGTAGGGCCCCACGAGGCCCACCACCCCTCGGGGCAGCGCCACCGGGTTCTCTCGATCCGGCCAGCGGTTCTCGTATTCGGATCGATCGGAAAACATCTTCGATGGATCCGGTAGAGGCTGCCTGGGCGTGTCGCGGAGCCACTTTCTTACCTCGACTCGTTTGGATACGTCTTCCGGGTCCAGCTGTCGCTTCTCGCTGGGAACGGTGTCCTCGATCCGTGTCGAATCGCGACACGGGTCGACGGGTCGAATCGTCTCCTCGTCGGAAGACGGTGTTTCCGGCAATCGTACTTTCTTCGGTTTTCTCACCACGCTGTAAAGAGTGTTCTCGTCCTCAACCTCAAGAATCGGCGACGTTCTATTCCGAGATGATGGCCAGACGTACGGTAGCTTGTTTTCCACGTTGGATTTGCGGCTCGACTCGTTCTTGACCGCGCTGATTATCACAATCTTGCCGTGGACATCCGGAGGAAAACTCTTTGCGCTGTCGTCGCTGTCCAAGACGCTGTAAATCGGTTCACGCGTCGCCGTCTGGATCCATTTAGGTCGTTTGCGCTGTTTCGAGATGCCACCAGCATGCAGAGATGCTTTTCCGCCGATTGTCGCCGTGGAAATGTCAGTTAGCTCGGCCACCATCCTGACGAATTTTTCGTGTCCAACGGGCCCGCGCCGGATGTCACGCACTAACCGATTGTGATTAACGAGTCGAGAATAGAATATTGTATTAAGACTAACGCGATATCGATAATCGACGATTTGAGTCGCGTAAATAGGAACGAGTTCAACGATGAATTTTTATAGTAAACTCGACGAATAGACTTTTTAGAGAGATTATTTTAGAGATTATTACTCACTTGAAATTTATATTAAAAATTGGAGAGGCTAAGATTAATTAAGTATTGTATCTTCTAAAAAGATTGTTTAAATTTACGAAATGGATAGACAAACAATATGGTATCAAAAAAATAAATTTTTAATTTCAAGAATCACTTTCTTCATTTCAAATCATGTCTCTTTAAAACATTTTGTTTCTTGTTGTTGCACTTTGAGAATATCGAGAATCCTTTTACGGAGTAAAACTCTGAAGATCATTGCTCACTTTTGATTTGTCTTGTCAATTATAAAATTTATTAATTAATTATGTCTCTTGACACGGAATCGTCTCAATTTACAAACTTTGCTCACTAATTGGCAATTAAGTGGTTAATTACAAGAATCACTTTATTTAGTTTGTCGTTTAAAATTGACGATTTTTAATTTTAATTTAATTTGATTTAAATTGACCGTTTCGGATTCTTATTGTTTGTTCTGACCGTTCGAGTGCACCGGCTCGCACGTAAAAGGCAAATGGCACTCGGTCACTTTAGTTTTAGCGAAGAACAATACTGTAGTATCGTCGCAGTGGTGGACGGAGGTCATTGAGATGGATGTAGTTCTCGTTCGTGACCAGGTTTAAGAAAAAGAGGATTTCACATTCTTTGGAACGACCTCATCGATTTACCATATTTTCCCTCAACGCTACGAATTCCGACGGACATCGCAACATTACGCGGAATTAAAAAGAAATCTTAAAGATCTAGAGATCTGCATAATCATCTCTTAAAGACTGACGAAATTTTTATCAATTTTACTATAAAAAAAAAAACGCAATATTTTTAAACAATGTTATTTTTGTAAAATCTCAAGATAAACAAGCATTCAGATAAGATTCGCATATCGCGAATATGCCGCAATCTATTGCAAAATTTCTCGGATTTATAGCGATGCTCTCAGGAATATCTCATTAACATATATATCGTACTCATCATGTTGTAATTCATTTCCGACAATTATTTTACGATATATGGATAAGTTCCGTTTACATTCAGAATAATTGCGCGTTTTCTTTTTCCGTTTTGCTAACACTTCGTATAAAATCAGATAAAATAATTCAGATTGTCAAAACTCAAGGATTCGTGCGATTTTCATCGTGTATGCTCACGAAGAAAATGACAGAAACAAAAAGAAAAACATTTGTTTAAAATCTAAGATATATAATGATAAATATCTATATAATATAAATACATGTCAAAATGTTTCGATTTAATGACTCAAAAAATGTTTGTTCTCTTTTTACTATAATATTATCAGAGTATAGTAAAAAAAGAACCCTTGTAGATATATACTACATTTCAGTTCTGCAAGTTCTTCCGAAAATAATCAAGACAATCCGATAAATCGAGCGCAAAACGCCGGCAAAGATCGGCATCGTCGCCAGCTGTTGGATACTTTTTCCTAATCGTTTCTTCCCTGCGGGACATCGATTTACTCGCGCGCAGATAGTATGTAATTGGTCCATAAGATAATCGGTCAGCTGTCGTTACCGCGAAATTGCTGATAATGTGTGACCGTTAAACTTTGACCGGTCTACCTATCCTTTACGATGCAACTTTATTCGACGTAAAAAAATGCGTCGCCGACACAGCACGTTTGACGTTTTACCACATGGGAAAATAGACGGACACGACATCACTTGGCGGCGTTTATCAGGGGAGGGTCGAGACGTTCACCAACTGATGATTATCGCGGTTCATCGTGAAATAGCCGCACTTCCGTGCGGGATCGTGCAAGATCCGCTACGAGGGCAAATGCACGATCCTATCGAAAGAAACTCAAAGTACATATATTAAGGCGCTAAATGTGCACGCGCGTATGGAGTATTATTGCAAATTACAAGTGCCGTGTCGCGTGAAGAACGGCGATTGGAGCATTATGATTAATTTAATAGCCGAGCGGTGTTTACGGAATTATTATACATCTTCGCTTTTACACTCAGATCTATCCTCTTGCTAGAATATCTCTTTTGGAATAAATAGTTTTATAAATTTTTTAGACTAGAAAATTTATAAAACAATTTACAACTAGAATCAGCTGTAGATTTACAGCATTGCATTTTATTAATTAAAAATTTAAAGCTCGTATTAAGTTAATTGCAAAATGTTTTTATAATGTTTGGAAAAAGAACTACAATAATTTGAAAAATGTATATTTAGTTTGAAAGATTTCATACGGAAAAGAGAAAGAAAGGAAGAGAATTTTTAAATTTCTTTAAAAGAAAAGGCAAAAAAAATTTAAAAAGCCAAATATCAAATTCTTCCTTTTTCTGAAAAATTTATAGTTTTAATACGTTAATATAGTAGGAAATTTAGATCTCAAATTAAATAAGTTGAAAAAAGTTCTCGTAAGGATATAATCAATTGCAATCACATGATTTTCACTTGAAAATATAGAATTACCTCAAGATCAAAACTCGCACAAATAGCGCGTTCGAATATAAATGATATTTCTGAATTGGCAAACGTTCTTATAATGAGGAAAATGGGAGGAAGATGAATATATTCGTGCTCGCAATAGAAGAAAAGGAGGAGGGACAACAGCATCGTCACAACAGCAGCCCACGTCAGGGTCTGCTACTGTGCTCTCTTCGTTAATTTTAGTACACGTTCCACTACCGTCTAGCTCACAAAGACGATAGTTCGCGCGCGAGATAATGATATCGGGCCAAGAACACCGAATAATGTCACAACATTGAAAAGACAACCCGCATCGCCAAGATAATATCAGCCGACAGCTGATACTTCAAGACCTCCTCTCGTGCATCAACAGTTCGATGATGACGCGCATCTACCTTCTCGTAGCTCTAATCCTCTATTGCGTTTCGAATTCTGCATTAAGCGAGCCGTGAGTATGATATTTGTATCAAGGAAAAAAACAGCTTTCTATTATTAGAGTACATTGATATTAAAAGCTGATTTGTAAAAATTCCGTGAAGAGCGACTGTTGAGAATTAAAAACTGACATTTGTAGAAAAGAGGTATCCTTTGCAACACTCGTATATATATATATTTCACATTACGAGATACTTACATCTGATTTTAAATTTTGCCGAAAAATTAATACTTTATTTAAAATATTAGAAATATTTAAAAATAAATATAAACAGATTGCGCGAGAGGTGTGAAAGAGGGGGATTCAACATCTCATCTCTTTTAAACGAAATAATCAATTTTCCCAATCTGATCAGAACTCCCTCCCTTGCGAAACATCTTGACCTATTCCACAGTCCGCGATTTCACGTTAACGCCGGAGAAATCTAGATGATGCAAAATTCTCTCCGATATCTTCTCGCTTCGAAAAGAGGAAGTCTCTTGCCTCATAACGGTTTTTCGCGAAACTCGGCCGCAATCGCTCGCGCATCTATCAGATCTTTGCAGACGCGAGGCTTTTCTCCGTAGAACGACGTGGCTGATACAGGGCGATGTATTCACCGACGAGGAGGCGACGTCCAGGCTCATTCAGCTGGACAGCCAAAAATCGTATTTTCCGGTGAGCACCAGGGCGGAGATATACTACAGAGCACGACCAGGCAAGCTCGTCAGCTGCGTGATCGCCGCGTCCGTTCATCAGAACGGTCAGGTGAGCGTGGTGGAGGGCGGCTACGGGACCAAGAAGGTCCGGATACGTTACATCACGGAGAATGGCAGGCCGGACGTCTTCTTTGTTCTTGTGCAAGCCGCGAAGAGGGAATCGGTATACGTCGAAGGAGACCTCGCGTGGAGTACGAGATTGGGCATCGCCTACGAACCCATGAAAAACTGGACCGTCGCGGAGATACAGAACGCTTTGCGCAACGTCACTTCCTCTCAGTTTCCTTTTGCGTAACGGCACATGTTGGTCTTTATTTTTCCATATAATAATAATTGTAAAAATACCCCTTGAGTATATCCACTCTTACCGTGAATATTTCAGAGGATTCCTTCGCGAGTCACAGATTTTCGATTTATTAAGCGCGCATTCTAAAAACTAGAATGCTTAATTTATTTATTAATGCAAAATTAATTTTTTTTTCTGTTAGCGTATCATCAAATTGGAGAAACGTCAAATAATCTCTCGCGATTAACTTGTTTTTCCATTCTGTCAAAGATATTCTCAAGCAACATATAATATTTCAAAAGTTTAACTTATATAAATAATTAATATGCTATTTAAGTATATTTATTTACGATATCTATTAGATCGGTTAAGTCAGCTAAAGAAACTTGGTAAACATCGGCGGTACAAACAGTTAAATCTTTCCGTATAATTATCGCCAGCGAGATGCTCATTTGTAATGGATAGCATATCATTTTGCCTCCTTATATTTCTAGCAGAACGGCCATGTAATTGCGCACGTCTTTCTAATGTAATTACGCACGAGGTAAGATGTGCATTAGACATAAAATAAGACTTCTAAGCGCGATTTAATCTTTTTAAGATATATATTGAAAAATCGCTCCTTTAGAAGTCTCTTGCAACAATATGCAAAAAGAAATGCACTCTGTCATTTTATTTTCCTAACAAATAAAATTATATAATTTATATGCTAATAATTTTTATCCCTGTATAAATAAACTTCTTTATCTAGTCATATGTTTTCAGAATAAATAAAAGGTGATTTTATCATATATATGGTAAAATCATACTTCTTATTTATTAGGAATATATATATATATATGTGTGTGTGATTCTTATTGTTTGTTCTGACCGTTCGAGTGCACCGGCTCGCACGTAAAAGGCAAATGGCACTCGGTCACTTTAGTTTTAGCGAAGAACAATAC